TGATTTGTAGTTTGTTCAATGGTTCTTTTTTTTTTTAATGTGATTTAATCTTTTATTTACTGGCTTAATGGTTTTTCTTTACAATTATTTATGAAAAAAATATTTGTGATTTGATTTAATTTTTTTCTGATCTGATTTTTAAAGTACCAATTATTGATAATGATTAGATTGTATTTTGAAAAAAAAATTGTAATTGGATTTTTTTAACTCACTGTGTTTTTTGAAAAAAAAATAACTGATTGTGTTTTTTTAACTATCAATTGACTTCATTGTTTTTTTTTTTATTATGAGCAAAAATGTAATTGTGTTTTTTTTTTTTTTAACTATCAATTCACTTAATTTGTGATTTGGTTTTTAACTCACTGTGTTTTTTGAAAAACAAAATGGATTGTACCTATTAGGGTCACATAATATACCAATTATTGATAATTATTAAATTGTATTTTGACTCAAAAAAAAATTGTAATTGATCTTTTTAACTCACTATGTTTTTTGAAAATAAATTCTTGTGTTTTTTAATTATCAATTGACTTAATTTGTGATTGATTTTTTTAATTATTGATGATAATTAGATAGCATTAAAAAAATTGTGATTTGTATGATTGAAGTTATCTCATTTTGTTTATAATTTTATTTTTTAATATGATTGAAGTTAACTTACAAAAAGAAAAATGTGATTGTAGTTTGTTCAATGGTTATAAATAATATTTTTATTTACTATTTTAATGGTTCTTTTTTTCAATTATTATTTTTTTATTATGAGAAAAATATGATTGTAGTTAGATAGTATTAAAAAAATTGTGATTTGTATGATTGAAATTATCTCCTTTGTTTATAATTTGATTTGTTTAATATGATTGAAATTAGATAAATATAAACACTCACAAAAAAAAAATGTGATTGTCGTTTGTTCAATACTACTAAATAATCTTTTATTTACTATTTTAATGGTCTTTTTTTTGAATTATTTTTTTTTATTATGAAAAAAATGTGATTGTAGTTAGATAGCATTAAAAAAAAATGTGATTTGTATGATTGAAGTTATCTCCTTTTGTTTATAATTTAATTTTTTAATATGATTGAAGTTAGATAAACATAAACACTCAAGGGGGTTTTTAAGGAAAATGGAGTTTTTAACCCAAAGTCCTGTGGGAGCTTCAATATCCCAATCTGAATTTTTAAAATTTTTTATTAAAAAAAAAACTCAGCATTTACTGATTTGGTCAAAATCTCCTGATCAGCATTTATTAACTTTTTTCAATCCACATGCCTGCATTTATTGATTTGGTCAAAGTCTCCTGATCAACATTTAAAATTTCCTCATACAAATAATTATAGATACAATCTGTGTATAGTTACTGCAGTACCATTTTCAACTTTTCTCATATACTATGGTTAGTGATAAGATTGGTAAATTATTTTTATAAAAAATCTTAAAAAACATAATTCATATATTAAAAAAAATCTAAAACAAATATAAATATCTATAATTATCCCGTGCATAGCACGGGTGATAGGCTAGTACTATATATTAAGCAAAAGGGGATTTTTAATCCCAAGCCTTGTGGGAGTTCTAATCTCCCAATCTAAATTTCTTAATTTTTTGATTTAAAAAAAAAATCTTAGCATTTATTAACTTCTCCCAACTCCCAAGTCTTACCCTTATAATAACACTTTAATGCATTAAGAACAAGCATACAAAAAATTCTTTGAAATTCAACACATGAATTCCTTAAAAAGTCCCAACACATATGATTATTATCCCTCATAATAACACTTTAATGTATTAAGAGCAAGCATAAAAAAAAATTCTTAAAAAGCCTAACACATATGATTAATATCAAAATATTAAACTTTAATCTATACTATATATTAAGCAAAATGGGGTTTTTAACCCCAAGGCCTATGGGAGCTCCAATCTCCTAATCCTAATTTTTTAATTTTTTGATTTTAAAAAAAAAACTTCAGTATTTATTGACTTCTCCCAACCCAACCTCAGCATTTATTGACTTCTCCCAACCCACAATGTCTTTTGACTTCTCTCATAAATATTGCAACACCCTTTTCAATTTCTCCCATACACTATGGTTACACACACACACAAAAAAAAAAAAATAGCTATAGATCTCAAAAAGATATAGCATCTAAATTTGAATTATGATTTAATAATATAATTATGTATTTTTTTTATGTATATCTATCAAAATTTTAAATCACTTAATGAGAAAAATTAATCAATTTTTCAAAATTATTCTATCTTCTCCCACCATTATGTTATTTCCCACTAACACTAAAATCTAAATCTAATTCTCGTGGAATCATGATCGTTTCATTCCCCAATAGGGCCAATCTATAAAAATTTAATAGTAGGTAATAGTAGGTATGGTTTATATATATACAAAGAAAAATAATTTAGTGCAACGGGTACAATAGGTGGTATTTCGAGGCGGTTCAAGATATTTTTGATATTGTTATGTAAATATTAAAATGAGATATTTATTTATTATTTTTGAAATATTAAGACATGAAAAAAAGATTTTTTATAAAAAAAAAAATTATAAGTTTTAACCAACGAATTAAATAAACACCTTAGTTGTTTCTTCCTCAATCATATTCAAATATTATCAAAAATCCATATTATAAAGGATTCAGAATAGCAGTAGTCGTACTAAAGTGACTAATGTGAGAACCATGGAGCAGGAGTGACCCCATTAAGGGGGTGATGGGGCCCTAGCAATAGTTATTGAATGCAATAAGACACGCCATTACATACCCGTTACATTAAATATCAATAACGTATGCATTTACTTAGGGTAGGTTAGAGTTTCCTATATGAAAAATATTTTTTATTTTTTATTTTTTGATAGAATGTTAGTGAATTAATAGTTAGATTACTACATAGACTAATTTCTCCACATAAACTCAAATATAAAATCTTACATTGGCACATTTATGCCCTCTCAACATTACTTGGGTTGGAGTTCGAATCTCCCTCTACGAAATCTTTTAAGATTTGTAAAACATCATTATTATATTTATTTATAATAACAATAATCTCATTTGTTGTGATGTTAAAAGGATTGAAACTAATATAGTGTGAAGACACAGCAATAAATATGGTAAAATATATATTTTAATGTAAAATAATAATAATAATAATAATAATATCATTTTTTGGAAGGGGATTGTTTGGTATGAATTTGGAAGGAGAATTGTTTGGTATGAGATGTATATGGACTGTTATGATAGGTGTTTTGGGTGTTAGGGAGATTTTATTTTCTTTTGTTTTCTTGCTTTGTAGGTTGGTTTCTCTCGAGCCATGGTGTAGTGTTAGTAAATGATTGGCTTGCTTTCTGATCTCGACCTAGTTGAAATCATTTAGTTTGATATGATATTTATGCACTCGTCTCCTTTTATAGATGTTCATCTCTGTATTTTGTATAACTGATTTTCATCAATATAGTTATTTTGCTGATGAAAAAGAAAATTATTTTTTCATCCAAATAACTAACGAATTATTAATGAAAATGAAAATGTATTATTTGAATTAAAATTTTAAGAGAATCAAACATAATATAATGAAATTCAAGGAAGGTCAAACATAATATAAAAAATTTGTGAGACAAATTGTATTTTTAAAAAATTTCAAGGCAGGTCATTATAATTTACCTTTTTATATTCTATTTAGTTTATTAGAATAAAATTCTTTTGAGACTAACTGTATTTTCAAAACAAATTCAAGGAAGGTCACCATAAGTTACATTTTTATGCTCTATTTGGTTTATTATAATGAAATTCTTGTATGACTAAATTTTTTTCAAGGAAGTTCACTATAATTTATCCTTTTTGCTCTATTTGATTTTATTAGAATCAAATTGAGTGATCATTACTTAAATATTGTTATAGAATGGCATTGATAATTTATGATGTATTTATTATTATTTTTAAATTAACCAAATACAATTTTTTTTTTTGTTTAAATTCTCAAAAATTATTTTAAATGGGTTTTTGCTTGTCTTTATTGATTTTTTTTTTCATATTTATCCAATTTTTTTACTTTGTAAAAATAAAAATATTAGATATGTCTAAAAAAGTTTTAAAAAAATTAACTAATATGAAAAAAATTACTAAATACAAATGAAAAATCAAACAAAAATGTACACAAATTTTTATTGGATTTTTTTAATATTTTAATCAAATCATTTTACCTTTTAAATATATTTAAATTAGAAACATAAACAACAATTCATTTTTAAAATAATATGGGTTTGGCTTTTCTCAAGTTGTCATTTCAACTTAAGAGAGTATTTGGACTTAGTATGTCTATTTGAGAATCGATTTTGGTGATCTAGCCGTTCATTTTTTTGGATTTGTTAAATAAAATATTCATGCACAAAATCAAGATCATTGGATATCAGTAGATATATATTTCAATCATATTTATTTTTAAAAAATAGACGATAAACATAATTTGAAGAATAATCATCTATTTTTTATAATACAAATTTAATTCAAACATATAATTACTGATATTCAATCATATTCTATTCAATCTCTTCAAATTTTCGCATACTGAGACGTGAACATAAGAAAAATTTAGGCCTTGTTTGGTTTGTGTTTCTCAAAAAATTTTGAGAAAAATTCTCTACAAATAAGTTTTCAAAAGTAGTCAATCCAAACAAATTTTCCCAAATTTTTTTTTCAAAACTTGTTTGGTTTACAAGTTTTCTAAACAAATCTCTCTCTCATACACATCAAATCAATCACTTTTTCCAAAACTCTCTCTCAAAATAATTTTTTAAAACATCTTTTGAAAAAAAATCAAACCAAACAAACACATGTTTTTCAAATACAAACCAAACAAGCCCCTAATCTTTTTCGATTTTATAGAAGGATGATTCCATAATATTTCACACAACCATTCCAAGTAACCAAACGAAACCCTAGAAATTGGGCATACTCTCTACCCTGTATATAAGACGTTGGAGTTCCTGTTCATTTCCCGTCACTTTTTAGCATTAGCAGTAGCAGAGAAGAGAGAGAGAGAGGTTGGTTGGGCCAAGAAGCCTGCTGATGAAATTGTCCCGCAAACTCAGATCTGGTCCAGTTTCTGGCCCATTTCACGCAGGCTTTTGTTTGCTACTGTGTTGAATCTCTGTGTCGTCTCTCTCTCTCTCTCTCTCTCCTCTGTGTGCCCGCGTCTTCTCTCCTCGAATCCCCAAACCAAACCCTAATCTCTCCCCAACACTGAACCGCCAACTCGATTTTTGGTATTTTCTTCTCTTGATTCTTCAATTAATGCACTTTCGATAGTCTCTGTTAGTTGATCCATATTTTGACTCTTCTGATTTCTGATTTGATCACACAGAGAGAAGAGGGAAAAGGGTTGTAACTCTACTCCATCAGAGGTAGGTATTTCAGCAATTATTCAGTTTGATTTCTTGGATTCTTTATGAATTTGGCAATTCCTTGTATTTTGTGTCTATGAGCTTTTGAAATCATCAGATTTTTGTTTGTTTATATATGTATGTGGGTTGTTGGTTAAATTGAGAAATTGAAGTTCTTGGCAATGCTTACTTTGCCAATTTTGAAATGCCATGTTCATTTGTTGGGTTTGTGAAGGGTTTGACTTTAACTTGAACCAGTCAATGGTCTAGAGCTGAAACAAATGAATCACTTTTTTGAGACAATAGGAAGCACCAAGAAAATGTTACTTTTTTTTTCTTTTTTTTTTTCTGTCAAGAAGTTGTTTGCATTATTTTTTAATTGCTATATATCGGGTCTGATCTATATTTAAACAAATTGGATCTTGGGTTGGTCCTGGACAATATGAGACAACGAGCATGTCAAGGAGAAAATCCTTCCACACACAACCTTTCAAACATACAAATTTCAAATAAATAAAAGAAAAACCGCTCAAACTTATATTAATACTTTCTATTTTTATTATATTTTCTTATGTTAACAAAGAAAATTTGTAGTTAACATCAATCTTCAATAATAATTCATATTTTTAATAGATATATTACAACTAAAAAAAAAAATTAAAATTAAAATATATATGCACTCCCAATCTTTGAAACGTCTATATGCCCGTGCTCCCCTACTCCCGTCCATGCTTCCGTCCTTGTTTTGTGCAACTAAGCTCTCCAGTGCACAAATGCAATAATGACATTATTTGATAAGCAAATTTGGTTAAAAAACTCAGTAATCACATCACATCTACTTTACCTCCTTGTGGTTTGACCTCGTGGCACTTTACTTTCATGTCGTTCAAACTGAATACACCTCTATGTGGTTTTGGCCATTTTGCATCCTATTGTAATTAATTTGGTCAAAATTAAGATTTTGTGCAACACAGTCAATTTGTAGAGTGGATATGAAAAACAGAAAAAGTGAGTCAATTTTTCATAGTAAAAAAGAAAATTTGTATTTCATTTTCTTCATACATGCACCTTGTTCCATGGAACCACCACGACTCTTGCCACCTCTCCAGCACCTTCTATCTCCTCCCTTACCACCCCGTCGACCTCGCCATCCTTATATTCTTCTTAGCCACTCCCTCCACAGCCTCCTTTCCTCATCCTCCACCATCCCCCTTCCCCCAACACCATCTGCCCTCGCCTCTCCAAATCCCATAGCTACCTTCGTTGCCTCCTCTCCCCTCTCATGGTCATACAATTTGTTCGTGGGCATCATCTGGTCATATGACCAGCCTCAAGGTTTTTTTAAGGTGGACATTTTGTTTGTGGGCATCAAATGCTCGGATGCATGGGTAGAGAGGAGATGGATTATCAAAAGATGGACGTTTCATAGCAATTTGATGCCCACGATCTGGAAATGTATATATATACATATAATAGTGATATATATACTGTATATATGTATATGTACATATATACATATAATTAGAAATGTTATTAGATTAAAAATTATGATAAATGTTACAAATTATTTTATAAAATTAGTAGTCTTTAATATGTGGTTTAACTAGTTAATATGTTACTAAGTGCTTGTTTGGCAACTTGGCTTTTTTAGTGGCATTTTGGCATTTTTATGAGGTGAAAAAAGTTGTGTGTTGGTTTTTCTTTAGTTGAATAGATAGTGATAATGGAAAAAATGATTGATTGATGTGTAACATTTTTGGCTTTTTTAGCCAAAAACTTGGCTGCCAAATGGGGCCTAATTTAAAATTTTATGCTCATAACTGAAAAGAGAAAGAGAAGATAGCATAGGAGTATTAAGGTCATTTTTCACTTTCCATTGATGGAGTTATTGTTGCATTTTAGTCCAAAATCACATGGGACATCTTTGACTATTTTTGAACGAAAAGGAGTAAAGTGTGCTCTAGGGCTAAACCACAAGGGTAAAGTGGATGTTGCCAAATTTTAAGTCAGTAGTTCAGTTGGCATTTTGGTTGCTACACCACTTTGTGCTATGTTAGTGAACCTAATTTTCTTTACCTTATTATGTGGTCAGGAGTTTTAGGATTGTGCCATCTATAGTTCATTGCTTGTATGCAAAGTTATCTAGGTTTTCTATCTTTTGAATTTTAAGGTGGCCAATGGGGTAGATTCGTTAGTAAGGTGTTTCATAGACATTTTGAAAGGTTATATAATTGCCATTTTATAATTAAAATTGGTAGTTGGCAATGCGAATTCCCAACGCAAACATGGTTTCTAATCATTTATTATTGTTTGCCTACTTTTTTTGTCTCATAACCATGCATTGTTGTGCATCATTGATCAATGTTATACTAGTAGTTTCGTAATACTTTAGAATGGGTAATCTGTCAGTTGATCCGTGTTTAGTTGGGTCACCTAATTATTGAATTAATGGGCTTGGTGAAACTTTCTTGAGGCTCAACGTTTACGAACTATTTCTCCATGCTTCTCATCTTATGTTTGTTGTTGCACATTATTTTCCAAATTAACACTGGCTTTACTATGAAAATTGTTAGGATTGAAAATTGGAGTTTAGTTAATATGAGAGCTGCTATTAGGCATGTTTATGGGCAAGCTAGAAAATGTTGAAGATTAATTTCTTTGTTGCAACATGTTTGCTATGATTTCTTTTTGAGAGTGATGCAAGTCATTATTATGTTTAGGTTTGAGTTTAGAAGAGCGTGGAGAAGTGAAAGAGCAAGGACAAGCAAAGTGGAGCGAGAGTGGGGATCTAGAATAACAAAGTGTTTGGCCCTAGGGGGTAAAAAAATGTGGAGCTTGTAAGAGGGCTGTTACATGCAACAATCACCGCTGGGCTGCCAGTTCCAAATATCAAGTATGCTTTTCTTTCGAGATAATTATTCTACTGGGAGAGGCAACTTTATTTTGTGGGAACTTTTGAAAAGAAATAACAGTAAAGAAGCTAAGTAAATCCTTCTGTACAAGTTTGTAGATTCCTGATGCTTGCCTTGAAACTGCAGGTACATTAAAGCTTGCCTTTGCAACCAGATTGGAATCTGAAGTAGAGAAAGCTCTCGATATATTGTGGTTATGGGGCTACGAGGAGTGGGACTCGGGAAATAACAGAGGGAAACTTATTGTTCCTGATTAGACTGCGTTACCTTCCCCATTGTAAGTATTGGTATATATTGTATTCTTTTCTTGCTGCTTCTAAGTAATTGAGGGACTCTTGCTTTTGAGTTTTATACCTAGGCTGCTTTCCAAAGCTCTTATTACCCACTGTTTTTGTCCTTATATTTTCTAATTTCAGCTCATCGTCTTGAAATAGGGAATGTTTGATCTTTTCTTCATTATTTAGTTCCTGTACGAAAGTCCCACGGAGTTGAAGACCTTATATCAGAACATATGGTTGTCTAGTTGTTTGTGACATTGTACCCTGGTTGAAAATGGCATTTTATTCTGAGGAGCGAACTGAGGATTACCTTTTCAAGATTGTTTTGATTGGTGATTCAGCTGTTGGGAAATCAAACTTGCTTGCTAGATTTGCAAGGGATGAGTTTTATCCTAATTCAAAATCAACCATAGGAGTAGAGTTCCAAACTCAGAAAATGGATATCAATGGGAAGGAAGTTAAGGCACAGATCTGGGACACAGCTGGTCAGGAGCGATTCAGGGCTGTTACATCTGCGTATTACAGGGGTGCAGTGGGAGCTCTTCTGGTCTATGACATCAGTAGACGTCAGACATTTGATAGCATTAGCAGATGGCTTAACGAACTTCACAGTAAGCACCACAACTAAATGATGTTTGGTCCATTTTGTTTATGCTTCTTTTCCCTGTGAGCATTTCTCTTTGGGTACAGAACTGTTTTAGCAGCAGAATGATTTTGGCATATGGCAATGATTATCAGACCTCTGAAATGAGTAAAGAGAAATAAAATTTTCACACCAATTAATAAGATGATAATGCCACAAATAATTTATTAATGGCTTTTAAGAGGTTAATGTTATTGAGTTTTTTATTGGCTGATGAACATTTAGAGCTTTGTTGATAAAATATTATACACAGAAAGGTTTAATTAATATGCCATGTTCTCTGTTGCCATTTTTGTTGTCTTCATAATCACATTATTAATTATCAACAAGAGGTTAGTTGATTAGTGTTAGATGAGCTGCAGATGATCTGAGTTTGGTCGTAGCTATTGTTATGTGATTGTAGCGATGCTCATGTGTACATAGTGTTCTTGAAATCTACTTATGCTGCTAAAAAAAGATTTTACATTGTTCTTTACCTAGTTTGAGGAGCGGAGGCTTGATTTTCTGTTTTGTTTTTGATTTTGAACAGCTCACTCTGACATGAATGTAGTTACAATACTAGTTGGGAACAAGTCTGATCTTAAAGATGCAAGGGAGGTTTCAACAGCCGAAGGCAAGGTCTTGGCTGAGGCACAGGGTTTGTTTTTCATTGAAACTTCAGCCCTGGATTCGTCCAATGTAGCCACTGCATTCCAGACAGTTGTAAGAGAGATCTACAATATTTTGAGCCGAAAAGTAATCCAAAGTCAAGAGCTCAAGAAACAAGATCCTACATGGATGGGGAACGGAAAGACTGTTGTTTTACAGGGAGATGGGAACCAAGAAGTAGATAATCAAACTAAAAAAAGTTGGTGGTGTTGTTCATCCTAAAGTAGATAATTAAACCACCACCCTTTTTTGCTGCACAGCTGGTTCTCCCAAGCCCAAATTTGTAACTTCTTAAAGTTTGACATTTGTTGCCCCTCATGTAATTCATTTTTTGTTGAATCAACAAAATTTTTTTTTTTTTATTTATTTGTTTATATTTTTTTTGGGTTCCTTTTTGGGGCTGCGAGGAGAAAGCGGAGTAGAAAATGTAAATGTCTTGAAGGAGATAAAAGGATTTTTCTATAATGTCGAATATTTTTCAGTGTATGACTTCTTTGACTTTTTTTGTTCTCCAGGCCATTTTTGTTTCCTTTTATTTGTTTCCGTCTCATTCGAGTTCTTTATTTGTGCCCCTTTCTACGGTCATTGAGGGAGGTGATACTGTGATCTAATCCACAGTAAGGGTTTCTTATACATTGGCTATTCCTATATGTATATATATTGGATGAGAACTACATATTCTTGTTTTGGCATGATTGATTTGTATCCATTACACCATTTGTGCGGTTGTGATTTTTATTGAAAGGAATTGAGCCCAAAGAGAACAGTTGGTTGATGAATGATCCAACCGGAGACATTTTTTCCATTGTTGTTTTGTTTGTTTTTGTTTTTTGATTAGGTCAATTATACTACATTCCATTGAGAACAATTGTAATGGTGAAGTGAATTCTTCATTAACAAATTGGTAATGGTATCGTTTCACTACATTGCAATAATAGTAATTAGCACAGAAATTACGGAGATTATATAAATATTTGATGTAATGAGCAATCTTGTTCACCTACATAGTTAGGACACCAAGAATGATCTTCTGTGTGTGTTGCTATTTCTCATTGATTGGGAGTAATATGTAGAGTGTCATGACGTAGATAAGGAGTATCTAGTAATTTCCCAATCAGAGGGTAATTATTAGAAGAGTTTGGATTCTCTCAAATTGATCGTCTCAACTTGAGAGAGCGTTTCAACTTAGTTAGCCCATTTTGCAACCAATTTTGGTAATCTGACGTTAACTTCGTAGTACTCGTTGAGTAGAATATAAATTCAAAAAATTAAGATGATCGAATATCGGTCATTATATATTTGAATCACATTTTATATTATAAAAAATAAATAGCTACTCTTAAAATTATAATTGTCGTCTTTTTTTTTTAAAAAAACAAATATAATTTAAACATATAATTATCGATTTCAATCATCTTAATTTTTTGCATGGATTTTCTATCCAATAAGTCATAAAATGTGAATCGTTCAGATCACCAAGATCGATCTCAAAATAGGCGCACCAAACCCAATTGCTCTCTCAAATTGAAAGATCAACTTAAAGAAATCCAAAACCTTATTAGAAATACAATAGGCAGTGAGGGTCAGAATTCTAATAAAAGGAAAATGCTCATAACATAAATGTGATTAATGGATCTCCCAATCAATGGAGGAATAGAAGGATTGGACCACTCAATTATATTCCTTATTTTGACATATAATGAAAACGATTTGAAAGCTCTTACCAAAACCGAAAAAACAAAAGAAAACCCTGTGTGTTATCTGTTATGGAAAGCTATAGGATAAGTTTGAAAAGTGGCCACACAATAGGAATTTTTCTGTCTGTTCTTGGTTTACCCATTATAACCATACACAGCACAACTTTTAACCCATTATGGTCCGTCCGTGAGGAAGCTAGGGCCCACTTTCCCGCAATTCGGTGGGTCCCTTGACACGTGTCTATATTAGTGCCACCACAAAGTGATTTCGTCGATTCGTGGGAAGAGACTGAACTCTGATATTTGAAAAATGATTCAACAGGTATTTTTGAAGTAGATGGCGATTGACTCATGCTTCTACTTAAGTAAAGGGAGGGATTCGGGGTACGCTCACTTCTGCATTTTTGTTTCTTAATGTTCTCGTAAGCTCATTTATCGAAGCTAGGTCATTATTAGAGAAAGCAATGTCATCAAGCAAAGCTCTTTCCTATTCAAAAAGAGCAAGCAGGGTAGTAGTAGATCCAGCCATTACTATCAAAGCTATTGGACATCAATGGTATGGCAGTACTGTGGAGCAACATGTAATGTCCAAAGACTATTGAATAACTAATCATTGAATCACCAAGTTACTAACTCATAAAAATGCATGCAATCAACTTAAGGTTGGAAAGAAATAAAGCCCAAACTTGTTGGAAAGAACACATGTGATGGAAAATGAATCAATATGAAGCAATTTATTCTTGGGGAGCATCCCTTGAGTTGAGAGTTTTTCACACTTAGTAAATCAGCCAATCATTTCATACAATCTGCTAACACAACCCAGAAAGGGGAAGAAATTAAAACGAACGTACTTGACAAGAAAAAACGAGCAAACTTTGCCGTACATTACACCAGAAAGAGAAAAATAACAAAAATAAAAGAGAAAACCTCTGCATTTTATGTATCGTCATGACACCAGAGATGCATGATACAGTAATTTTTTTGAGTGTGTTCCGCAATTTCGATTTTACATGTTAATATTCAAGAAAAGAAAACCTATATTGAAAAACTCGAGCTGAAAACCTTAAACCTTTGGAACTTGTCTCTGTGGTAAAAGTTCTATAAAACAGAAGCTCCAATTAATTCTGTTCAAATGTACTATCAAACTGAGCAGTAACACACACCATTCAAAGTTCAAATGGTTCACCTGACATTCTTCACCTATAATAAGCATCCATACAATTGTCTTCCTAGGCAGCAATTCCTGGAGAACAGAAAAAAAAAAAATGATTACCGCAACATAAAATTGGAAGTAAAAAGAAAGAGAAGAAAGGTGTTTAATAGCTCAACATCTTTTTTGGGTTAGTAGCAAGTGATTGAGTTAGAAATAAACAAATCCAAATCATGTATACAAAGGTTATCAAGTTAAATTGATTGGCAATTCTTAAAAGAACAACTCTATGATGGATGAAGCCATCCTGAATCACTCAATATTTTTGTTTTTACTGGTAAAATTATAAATGGAGAGAAAAAAGAAATTAAGTTCCGAGCATTTATGATAAATAATTTAGCCACAGATGCAACAATTTCGGTATCTTAAGGAAAAATTGCTTGCCAATTTTAAGGTCTCTAAGTACAGAAAACAGAATCCATATCGAAGGTTATATAGACAAAATTGCATCCAACATCATGCATTCATCAACAACCTATGTATCTCGTGGCTTGAACTTGCTCGCTATGAAGAGTATTCATATATACACATATATATATATATATATATATATATATGTACCACTGTTAGTTACCAATATCTATCATTTTCCCAATTATTTTTTCTTTAATTTTTCTTCTCTTGATGATGAATTTGTTGAGCAAGCAAGAGGACCGAGCTACATTTGTTAGACCCTAGTTAACAATATGGTGAAAGGTTTGTGCATTGACCGTAAATTTCAATACTACATAAAGAAAAAGTCCAACTTTTGGCCGGTCCATTTGTTCTGAGAAATTCTCAACATGCACGAAACACATCTAGGTTTATGGCACCAAATTATCTATTTCTATGAGTTTTTTCATTTGAAAAAAAATAAAATTAGATAGAGATGAAGGAATACTCCAAAGAAAAATGAAAGAAGAGAATTGGGGAGAGAAGAAGAAAAGTGTTACCTCTATTAGCTCTATTGGTAACAGTATAACCACCAACATATCCAGCAGAGTTTTTGGCCGTAACATCTGAAGCAACATTCCCAAGCCCATAATCAAACGATCCAGAGCCCTCTAACTCTGGGGACGATGACCGCCAAGTAGGGTCCCCATAAAATGAACCACCCCCATAGAAGTTTCCAAAAGGTCCATCAAGACCAACACTCGATGCACCATATGATGATGTCGGGGCAGCACTACTTCCACTGTTTCTTCCATACAGTCCCACTCCCGACCCAATACTATTTTCATTGTTGACATAATTTCCATTGCCACTACTATAGGTAGAATTTGTGCCTCCACCTTGACCTGAAATGTCAGAGGAACTCCAAATTGTTCCAATATTTCCAAAAGCACCGACCAATCCAATATTTCCACTTCCGGATCCCATTAAATCATTGGAGTTTGCAGAACTTGAAGAATAATTAAGATTCCCATTACCCCACATGTTTCGACTTGTCGAACTTAAAACTGAACTAGTTCCGCCACTACCGCCACCACCATACCCAACAGGACTATTATACCTGTTTGGACTAACACTATAAAAAGGGTTCAATCCACGGCCATAGCTGATATTAGAACTGAAGTTTCCACTTCCTCCATAGCTTGGACTCAACCCGGGCTCAAAATTAAATCCCATCCCATAACCAGAAGTACCAAACGGAGGATAACCACTCCGCCCAACTGTAACCGGACTAAACCTACCATCCACCCTTACTCCGTACCCTCCAACTGAGCTTGGATTATATCCCTGAGTGTAGGCATTGAGAAAACTACTAACTCTACTCAGGCCATAGTTATTATATCCACCAAACTGGTTTCGTGTTGGTCCAGGAGATAGCTCCTTGGGAACAGCCCGCTTAACCTCAACCAGCTTACCATTGAGTTCGTGAAAGGTTTTGAGCAACACTTTCTCTACTCCTTCCTCTGTATCATATGTAATAAAACCAAACCCTCTAGGCCTTTGAGTGTTGTGGTCGTACATTACCACAACATCCGTGATTGTACCAAATTGATCAAAGTACTTTTTAAAATCGCTCTCCGTGACTGTCGATGCTAAACCTCCTACAAATATCTTTTTTGAGCGGGCAGGACCTGGTGACCCTTGAAGGCTGCCATTATATCTGTTTAGCATGTTTTGATCATCTCTTGGAACGGCTTTCTTTGCTTCAACCTGTAAAAAATCCAATTTATGAGAAACAATATTCTATTGAGTATTACATTTAGAGCGAAAATAAGGTCCTATATTTTGAAGTTGGAACATTATTTTATGACTAATGTAAATGAAAAATTTCTAACAACTAAACTTACGAATTTTGACAAGTTTGGATCTTCATGGTTTTGTTTTTTTTCTTCTGGGGCTATCAAAATTTTCATAACTTGCACTAGTGAAGCAGGATGGAAATTAGCCTGAAGATCACCCTAAGAAAAATACATTGGACAAGCTACATTGCGGTAAAACTCACCCTTTGTTAATGATTATTTTTATCATCAAAATCTTTTGCAACGGCTAATTCTTTGTGAAGATATTTATGCCATTAGCACTAACCCGTTTATAGTAATTTGTTAAGTGGTGTGCTTTTCACTTTTTCCAAATTGCATTCGAAATCAGTTGATTTGTAGGAGAACCCCAATTATAGCACACGGCACCATCTTGTCCTCTGAAATGTTACCTTTCAGCATTTTCTATCGCACTAGAAATCTTTATAAATTCAATTTCCTTCCGATTCCCAACCTACCTGCATTGCGCTTAAAGTTGCCTGAATAAGTGCTTGATGATAAAAACACTGCATAAACTCTACTTACGCTTCCCTATATGGACAATATTACGGCATATTTAAGTTGTTTTATTCCACCTCAATTATGACAAGTAGCTAATCAAACCTCGCCGACAAACCATCTACAATAAATGAACCTCAAACAAAGCTAAAAATGAAATAAAAATAGGTTTCACTTCATGACAAGTAAATAAATGGACAGTTAATTCTGATAAAAATAAAATAGAATGCTTGACTTAGAGCTGCTATGCTTCGACTCGATATTTAAGGAAAATAATAATTACTATATATTGAGCAAAATCCATAATGCCACATAAAAATTTATTTCAAAATGTACAAACTTACAGCTCTACCATCTATCATGTGTTTTTCTCTAACAACTCTTTCTGCAACAGCAGGGTCAGCAAAGACAACAAAACCAAAACCACGTGCCCGGCCCGTGTTCCGATCCTTCATTATCACAGCTTCAACAACCTCACCAAAAATTTGGAAATAATCTCTCAGACGGTCTTCATTTGTGTCCCAAGAAATCCCACCAACAAATAGTTTTCCGGGTTCCATTTCCATTCTGCACAGTTTATATTAATTACAACTAATCTCAATCACTTAATTTCTCAATCAATTGAATTAAAAAAAGTGAATTGGCATCAACAAATTCAACTTTACAATGATACATCAAACTATCATCTACACAAAATCAGATCCAAAAGAGTAACGTTTAATTGTATGAAAGCAGATAGATAGATAGATATATGAATCAATTCCCACTTCTTAAATATCTCTGATCAAATAAAAATCTAATCATTCATTGAAACAAAAGCATCCAACATAAAACATCATAATGTAGATAGAACAAGGAAAACCATACCTTACCAAAGAATTTTACTAGAAAATTTGGAGACTTCTATAATTACTGAGGAAATGGGTGTTCTTAGAATCAATCTAAAAACATCGGATCTTTGGTAGATCAATAATCGAACAACAAATGATCCAGGATTCCTGGAAAACCAAGAAGAGAATTAAATTTTGAGAAAATTTAGAGAAAATATCAACAACCCAGAATTGGCAAGCAAAATTTTTACCAATTGAAGAAGACCCAGATGAGAGAGAGAGAGAGAGAGAGAAAATCTAAGATCTGAGAGGAGGCATAAGAAGAGCAGAGGGCGAAAGGCCCTCCCTTTTCCTCTCTCTTTGCTTTCTTCTTCCAATTCACCGTTTATTGAATTGGCAAAGATATATTTGAGTTTTTATCAAAGTGGGGAGAGAGAAAAAGTGGTGTGAGGTGATGATGGATTTACTTCTGAAATGGGAAAAATAATTTATGTAAGGTATACATGTAGAGAGAGAGAGAGAGAGAGAGAGAGAGAGGTTTGGCTATCAGCTCTCTGAAACGATGGAAGATGGTGACTTGCTCAGTTTTTAAGTTTGAGATTTTAAAAATAACAAAATTTTATCTTTCTTTTTCTAGTATACATTTTTTTTTAATTTTACATATTCTCTTTATTTCCACTAATAGATAAATTAGTTTAAGTTAGAGAAATTTCAAAAGGTACTCAAGTGAAGGCAATTTTATAGAATTTTAATGCTGTGTTTGAATGGGGATTTGAGGAAAGATTTGAAAAAGACAAAAAAAGATAAGAAAAATGTGAATAAAATATATTTACATTTCACGTAATTTTATACACTTTTTTTTTCCCTCTTCAAACTCCTTATAAATCCTTCAACTAAACACAACGTAAGAGTTAGGGGTGTTCGTGGTTCGATTACAACCAAGGAACTTCCAATTCACCATCCGTCTGTCGGATTATGTCTGTCAAATTGACAATGCGGATTGTGGATTGCGGATTTAACGGATTGATAGATTAGCGAATGGATACGAATCGGTTTGACAGTTTAAATTTTTATAAATTTTGAACACGATACAACAAATTGTTAACATTTTTTTTTTGGATAACAATCCAACTCAATATAACCAAAAGATTATCAAGTAAATTGTCAAATACCAATGATAAATACATTAAAAAAAATAAAAAAAAATCATGCACTATCAAAATTATTTCATTACTTTTTTTTTATTCAAAAACTATTTAATTTGATTTTAACAAAAAAATGACAAAATTAAGCTTTATATTATTACACAAAAATACCCAATATCAACACTTGTCATTTAATAAAAGGATTAACAAATTGAAAAAATAACAAAATATTTAAATTCTTTTTCAATTAAAAACAAAAATAGAATATTTAAACAAATTAAAAATACAAAATCTTACAAATTATTAGGGATGTTCATGATTTGGTGGTTCAGTTGCAGTGGAACCTCAAATCCGTCATCCGTCCAAAACTAGACAAATTGAAAAAAAATCAATTTGCAATCATCCGTTTGTCATCACACATCCGCCTAAAATGCAACAAATCAGCTTGGTTCGATCAATTTGGATGGATCAGAATATCTATTGCCCCTCCCTAACAAGAGTATAGATTCAATGGCCTTTTTATTTGGGTTCATAAGGATAAACACATAATTTGTTTGGTTCATAAGCATAATTTATTATTTGTACAAATTGTGTTAAACCCCCCTCTCTCTCTCTCTCTCTCTCTCTTCAAGCGGTTCTAAGCAATGTGACGGAGCTTGTCCATCTTCAAATCCATATCCAGTGCCATTTCATTTTCGTTGGCTCTCTATTTATTAAAAAACTATCCGATCAGCTTCATTGGAGGGTCATCAGCCGCTACCGTCTGCCCTCTAGCGGCGGTGGCGACAGATGAAGCTCTGTCATTGCCAACATCGATTTTGACAATGACTTCAGAACCGTCATTGAGATCGACGGTGTCTCTCAAACTTGTCCAAAACCACCAAACTCAGACAGAGGACGTGAATTGTCGAAGAGAAGAAAAAAGAAGAAAGTTCAAGCCCCCAAAGATCAAGTTCAGAATCCTAACAGCTCAATGCAGTGGAAATCTGAAGCTCAACAACAAGTATACTCTTCGAAACTCCGTCATGCTCTCCGTCATTAGCAAATAAAACTGGAAGAGCATACTTGTTGTTGAGTATACTTGTTGTTGAGCTCCGTCATGCTCTCCGTCATTTTATTTGCTAATCATGATCTCCGTCATGCTCTCCGTCACATTGTTGTTGAGCCATTCATGCTGTGACATTGTTGTTCAACAACAAGTATACGCTTCTTCTCTTCTAACAACTTTGCGGCACGGCCGAGCCATTCATGATGGAGGCGGCGAAGTAGTGTTTGTCTGTGACATAGGTGTTGCGGCAGCTAGTGTTGGTAGGCAGTGATGATGTTAAATATTCCTCTCTCTCTCTCTCTCTCTCTCTCTCTATATATATATATATGTGTGTGTATGTATATGAGAATTTGAATAAATAAATAAATAAATGAATACATACCCCCCTCTCTCTCTCTCTATATATATATATATATATGTGTGTGAATATGAGAATTTGAACAGATAAAATAAAAAAATTAAACAGATAGGTTAAAATAATTTGGGTATAGAGGTTAAAAAATCTAACAGATATAATGAAAATTGAACAAATGGATTAAAATTATTGGATAGATAAGTTCAAAAAATTGAACAGATAAAATAAAAATTTAAACAGATAGGTTCAAAAAATCAAACAGGTAAAAAAATTGAACAAATAGGTGATATTTATGGAACTAAATTTGTAATACCCTTAGCACATAGACTTTTCATCGATAAATGTCCTTATGTCCCTAATAGAACCACCATTGTTCTTAATGACTTATACAGATGGGAACATAGATTTATGAATGATTTTTCTATTTTAAAATCTATTTATGTTTATGTTAAAAAATAAACGGCAAATTTTACTTTATCCCTCGTAGTTTAGGCCAGGTGCAGTTTCCCTTTGACATTTAGAAATCATCACATAACTCTCATGTAATTACTGGATTGAAGTGCATACTAATTTCTGTTAACAGAAGATGGAAATTGATAATTATACCCTAATCTTTATCTTCTTCATCTTCTGTTCTCCATTCTTCTTTTCTACTCACAAACCCAAAAGCTAGAAGGTAGATATATATATATATATATACATTCTTCTTCTGAATTAAATAAATATATATATATATATAATTTAATCCAACTATGCTTTCAATCCAGTAACTTAATCACTTACCAACTATGAAATCAAAGAACACGGCCAGCACAAAATAATTATACTTCCAAAAACAAATTCAATAAAAGTGAAAGAAACAAGTAACAAAAAAGTAATCGAACTTGGATTGAACAAGAAAATAGCAGTACATATAAATATATATATACATATATATATGAACTTGTAATCAATGTTGAATGATTAATATATATGCATTTACAAATTATATATATATACAGATTATATAGTGCAAAGCATTTTTAATTCGAGTCATAAACACTTGACCGACACCACTGTCACGATCTTTATTTTTTTTTGGTTTGTAAATGGGGATTTGAATTAACTTGCCCACTGAAATTTTCATTGCCAAAAGATGATAACTAGTAAACACGTTCAGTTCAACTATCAAAATAACCAATTTCGAGTTTTGGGTTGATGGATTGGGGAAAGACTGGAAATTATTAGAATACTTGTTTGATCTAAATTTTTAATATACAAGTTTAGCCCATGATATTTTCAAATTCTCTCTTAGATTTATTTATTTTTTTATTTTTGAGTTGTCCCAACATACCACTCATTATCAATTTTTGTCTCCTCAAATTGAGCATCAGTTCAACACACACACACACACATATATATGGAATTGAGTCTGCAAATTAATGGAGCCTTCTGAAGCGAGATTCGGAACAAAAGCCATGAAAAGTGTCTTTTTTTTTCCCCAAATCAAAAATAAAAATCCACAAAAACCCAAAAGTCATGGTTTTTGCTCTGTGTTTCAGATGATGATGTTGATGAATCTAAAATAATTTTATGATTCCAAAAACATGATGTTGATTCCAAAAAAACATATATATATATAATGATGTATATGTATATGAATATATATGATGATGTATATGATTTCAGAAAAATAAATATCTAATGACGTATATGTATATGAATGTATATATGTTTGCATAACCATGTTCTTTCTTCACTGTATATATACATATATATGTGTGTGTGTGTATGAGTATATGCGCGCGCGCGCGTGCATGTAAAATATAATTTTGGAGATGAATCAATTTGATGTGGAAGGGGGTTTAAGGATAGCGTGTGAGGGGAGGGGCTACAATGATGGTGCGATGGATATGGGTGGTGGTTTGAGGTGAGAGAGAGAGAGAGGAGGTGAAAAAA